TAAATGGCAGTACACTCTTAAAGCTTTTTGAATTAGAGAGAGAGAGAAAGAGAGAGTTTAAGTAACAGTGACTATTCCCTCTTTCAAACACTTTGATTGCACATATTGGGATGTTAATGGATTTGAAAATAGTTAAATTGGTGGAAGAAAATTTGTGTACCTGAAAGGAATCTTTTGTCTAGAGAAAACAGAAATAGAATTTTAGAATTGATTGGGGCAGGGGGGGAAGAGAGGGAACATGTTAAAGTATTCTTAAATGATGCTGAATTTACTCAAACAAGGAAAAAAAGTTCTAAGCTTAAGAGGCATTATGAAAATAAGCATTGATGTTAACATAATTATTTTAACAATATGGCAAGATTGGTCCTTTCCATCTTGGGTCTCAAGTCACTGGAGGATCTCAGGCTCTGAATCTGAAAGCTTCCAATCCTACCGTACACGGCACAGGGCATGAACAGGACTCCACCATCCCCATCCAGCATACCATTTGCCAGACTATCTTCCCGGCTGTATATCTATAGCTAAGCCTTCCCATATGGGTAGGTGGTGGCCCTCCAAGAAGGAGTACCAGTGGACTATGTGCCATTTGGACCAGACCCATTGACCTTTGTGACTTGAGGGAACACCTTCCTTCTCAACTCTCTGGCAGAGCAATTTGGACCTGTTACATGGTAATTTTGGGCAGCTCCTGAGTTCTTAGCTCTTATCTGCACATTAATACCTTAAAGTAGCTTAAAGCACTCATTATGTAGCTCAGAGTTATGCCACTCCAGGGCAGGATTATCTCTGATCTGCACAAGCCAGCTCCTGTTCCATTAACATGTGGCTACTCCACACTGATGTGCCATTCAAGTTGAAGTTCTCCAGTATCTCAGGATGCAGTGGTCTCTCCCCGACCCTCCTGTTCTTTGTGGACAAACTGTCCATCCCTGGAACTCCTACAGCTCCTACTCCTGTCCCTAGTCACCAGGCCTCTAGTGGCAAGTCACAGCCGTGCAGGTTGGGGACAATCAGAGAAGGTTTCTAGACCAAAGGTGTGACTCCAAACTCCAGGCTAGCACTAAACTGATCAATATTTGTGTGGCTCATAGCATAAGGTATAACATACCCTTAAATGCCATGGCCAAAGTCACATAGGACTGCTCTGGTGACATACAGAAGCCATAAATAGCATATAAAGGAATGACAGAGAATTCCCTCACAACACTGGCCCTCCATAGTTGCCCTCAGTTGCAAGCCTTCTGGAGGTACACTAAGGGAAGAAACTTATCATGGGAAGAGGTAAGGCCATGATGTATTCTAGCTGTTACCACAGACCATAGGCAGCACTGGGGAGACTCATAATTTACATACCCCTCCTCCCAGGCTGCCTCATTACACATGAGCATGTTTTGGCATCCCAAACAGTTAAAAACTGGAAGAACACACAAGATGATAGCCTCCCAGGCTTCACCATCCCCTCTTTCCCCTCCCAGTCCCTTTGACTGTCTCTTCTGTGCTGAACCACTTGAAGGTGTAAAATCCAACCGCAGATTTCTTGAGTGACAGCTCCTAACCTGAATCAATCTTATGTTCCCTTTTCAAAATTGTAAGGACCTAGATGATTTTTTCCAGTTCAGTCAGAGCAATTTTAGCATTGCTTCTGCTGTGACAAGCAACGTGCTCGTAGCTCTTCAGCCACATCAAAAGATGGTTAACCATGGGTACAACCTCCTTTTTAAAACTCCTTCCACCTGCAATACTCACATTACCTTCCCTGCCTCCACACTATTAATTTAGAGAAGAGTTTCAAAGAAAAAAGAGAGAGAGAGAGAGAGAGAGAGAGAGAAAGAGAGAGAAAGAGGGAGATTGGAATTGTACTTCTTACCTTCCTGACCCTCTGATTTCCGTAGGTCCTGGTGTCAAATCGAGGCTCTTTGGACTCTTTATATTCCACAGGTGCAATGGACCAACCCTATTTCCATGAAATAAGCAGGAAATTAGTCACCTAATCAGAGTAAATCAAACCCACTTAGATCAGCTCCATTAGGTCCATTGACCTACAGAGCAGGAAAATAACCTTTTAACGGGTGTTTACATTAATGGTAATTAAGCGCTGCAATATCACAGCATTAAGAATTAACTCACATTAGGGCTATAATATGAATGGCATAAACTATGTGATCTTAAATTCTGCATGGTACCACCTTTCATCTGCCAGGACTGAGACACTGAGGCAAATGCAAATGGTAGCTGGTGATGATTCTACAGACAGTGGGTCTGATTCTCCTCTCTTTTCCACTGGGGTAAAGTAGGAGTCATTTCACTAAAGCCAACTGTGAGTGCCTAAGGCCCCCTTCAAATGTTAATTAAATACCATAATTAGGATCTGACAAATTTTAACTCCCCAAAAATATCACATCCATGGCAGAATGAATGATTGTTTGACTCTGTGATAACAGTCAGATACCAATCATGTCTGTCAGAGCATGCAGCTGGCTGTACCCTTTCACCCGAGTAGAGGGAGCTGGGGATTGGAGACCTCCTGGATACCCAGTTGCCCATGCCCAACAGGTGCAGGCCATTGCATGTGAGCTGGTAAAAGTTTGTGGTGCCTTTAATGGGAGATCCTTAATCCACAGTATATTTTCAGCTGGCTGCACATGTGCCAAGGTGCAGGTAGCTGTGGATTGGGAAGTTTCCCAAGCCCCAGAAGCCATAGTTGTTTGAAGGTCTGCAGCATGGGTGGCTGTGAATTGGGGAGCCCATTGATACAGAGCTGCCTACACCTTGCATCTTGAAATGGTACATGTACAACCTGTGGCAAGTAGGCTGTGGATTGGGGAGCTCATTGATCCACAGCTTGCATGCAGCTGGCAGCATGAATGCCCAGGACAGCTTGGCACCACAGATATCTAGGAACAGTGGAGCTAGGAAGGCACCAGCATGCATGCTGACAGCTTTATGCACACCAGGCTGTGGACAGCTGGGCAACTGAGGCTGTCCCTGTGCATGGAGAACCAATCGACTCCCCTGCATGGGGACCTTTAAAGCTCCGTATCATGTGCACCCCGTGCAAAAAGTGCTGCCGATGCTGCCAGTGGCACCTGTGGGAGGTTGCCTCTCGCCACTCCCCCCCGTCTGACAACAGCACCAGTGGCATCTGTGGGCAGTTCCTGGTTGCCACTGCCTGCCACCGCTGCTGGTGACATCTGCAGGTGGTCACCGACCAGTGGTTGATGCTCACCACTGCCCCCTTCCCCCTCCCCCACTGCTGACACCACAGCAGCTGCCTACGAGAGCTCCCCACTCACTGCCAACACTCCCCTGCTGCTGACACCACCACCGCTGCCTGTGAGCAGTCACTGTTCCCCACCAGCCTCTGGGGGCACACAGCATTCATGCTCCACAGTACAACCCAGCATTAGTCTGCACAGCATAGCTTTAAATGTCTCTGAGCAGGGGGAACTATACTGGACTTCCCCTGCACCAACAAGATTAAACTCCACCATGCACCCAGCACCAGGCTGCATGGTAGAATTTTAACGTGTCATGCATTCAAATTAAACTGAGATACAAACCACAAACAAAGATGTTCCACATACAATTGTGCATTAAAAATACTCATTGAATGTGGAACATCTTTGTTGCTGGTTTGCCATTTTTATTGCAGGATAACTTGCCTGAATATGTGTCATGTTACCAAAAAGTTGCAGGACACTCATTCTTAACCTGCAACAAATGTAATATCTGGAAGAAGCCTAAGAATCCCACTTACAAAATGCTGTGCAAGCTCTGGGTAAAAAACTAGTCCCTGTCCCAAAGAGCTTACAATCTCAGACAGGAGACAGAAAAGTTCAAAGAGATGATCCCAGTTAAAATGACAGGTAGGCATCACCAACATACTGGAAGCCTAGACATAGTCACATTTTTTTTTGTATTGCATCACAGCAAAGAAGAGTTCTAAGGAGGGATATGAAAGAGAACAATGGAGTGACAGTGCAGCTGTTTATGGGAAGCAAAAGGGGCAATGTGGAAGAAAGCATGAAGGCAGGTAGTTGAAAATTTAACAAGGATGGAAGCTTGTGTCATGGATCTAATAGAGCTAGAACTTACCCTCTCAGCATTGAATGGGGAAGAGTAAGGGTAGGCTGTGAAGGGCCACAGAAGTAAGGATAAATGGCTTGTGTTTGATGTGATAGATAGGGGAGAGCCAGTGACAGGGCACAAAGAGAGGGGTGACCTGGTCAAAGGAGCAGGCTCAGAGAATGTTCCTCAGAGCCGTGTTCTAAATGGATCCAAGCAGTGCAGGATTACATTCAAAATGACCAGAGAAAAGAATATTGTTGCAATCAAAATATGAGACAGGGAGAGCCTGGGCAAGTTTTAGCTCTAGAAAGACAGAGCTGTATCAGAAATGTTTTTTCCTCCTAGAAAGAATTATTTCAGGTTATGTCTGGTTCTCTCTCTCTCCTTTACACTTGCATTAAAAAGTTCCTCACCCAGCACAAAGATGCTGCAGGATGCCCTAATCTGCCTTCCTGTGCAGCCCTGTATATTGAGAAGAGCCCCTGTGGCCCCAGGGAGGGACAGAGGTGTAGCTGGAGTGTTTTGTGCTGCAGCTATTCTTGGCCAGTAGGCAGTTATACAAGAGCTCCATAACTTAGAGCAGCCTCTAGGTTACCTACAGGCTCTTATGTGGATTCAGTTACACTGTGCAGGAAAGGAGTAAGCTATACTGGGATAAGTGATATTTACACTAGTCTGTGTTCGTACTATGGGCTGTACTAGTTTAACTGCACCAATATAAAGTTACACTCTTCATCAACATCATTACTCTATGAAAGGCTGTGTAGACCAGACCTAAGGGAAGAAATAGAGACTTGTCTTGACATTTAAATGTTCGTTACTAAGCAGTTGGGTGATTGTTTGGGGTCTCTGCAGACTAGGTTGCCTATGTGATGAGACTGTTGCTGCTTTTACTGTGCCAGTTAAAATACAAGAGACCCTTGTTGTAGCCATAGGCAGTTATATCATCTCCCTGGATGACAGAAGTCCCAGGTATGGAAATACATATTTTTATTTTAAAATACCATCCTGGTCACATTTTCTTGAGTTTGTCTTGGCTGCCATAAGAGAAATTCAGGCCCTGCCTCAACTTGAAAGGGATTGTTGTTGTGGCTATAGCAGCAGATCTTGCTAGGCTGTGTCTACACTGCTAATACATACTGGCAGGGCTCTGTCAGGCAAGGGTGCAAAGTTGTGTGATCCTGGATCAGCACAGCTGTGTTAGCTGAAGAAATTACTCTGGTGGAACTGCTCAATTACCAGTGATAGAATCATAGAAAAGTAGGGCTGGAAGGAACATCTAGAGGTCATTTAATCCATGGGTGGGCAAAATATGGCCCGTGGGCTGATTTTACATAGTCCACAGCTGCTCCTCTGAAGGAGAATTGTAGCCCACACACAGCTGCCCTGGCTTTACGTGCCTCTCTCCCTTCCCCATGTCAACCAGTAGCAGCAACAGCAACAGCAACCACAACCACTCATCTCCCCCTAGTCCCAGTTAT